CATTAAACATACTTGCACTTACGGAAAGTAAACCTACTCGGCTACTCCAAATGCCCTTAAAGTAAATCGATTATCTTTGAATAGTTTAAATTAATTTATCTATGATTTCATCTTCAGTCCATGTATTAGTGAAGTATTGTGAAATAGTAAACGACAAACTTTTTTCTTCATTGTATTTGTATGGAATTTTGTGTAGATTTTCCTCATTCCAAAATCAAGTATTATTTAGACTTTAAGAGTCTTATCAGGCAATATTTTGCATATTGATTTTTTTGTATCTGTAACATTACCTGTGTATCAAGTTGCTATAAATAGATGTTTGAAATTTGTTTATTATAAATGGAGGTTACTATAGGTTGAGTGTAAAAATACGTAGGTAATTAAAGTAGGTATATAACGTGGGTATACCACGGGACACACTGATTAAGATAACATTCAGAGTATACAACAAGTGTTTATTACCAACAAATTTCTGTTTTTAAATTAATGTTCTTCCCTCGACACACAATGCAAATATTTGAACTGATAACTTTAGTACTTGTAAGTTATAACTTAGGATCATTTTATAAAAATTATATACATGTATATTATTCACCATTCAAATAACTAGTAAGAGTGTAGACTATCAGTTCAAATAATTGTTTATGATTTGCATTGTGTTAATTATTATTATAGTTAGGTACGTACTATAGTAATTATTGAAGGAACAACTTATAAGTCTTATTCGGTTAGCGCATGACTTTATGTTTTAGCTTATAACTTATAATAAGTATTCGTAATGTAAACTGTTTCAACTTTAAGTACTTGCATTTTAATATCCTTATTATACCTACAGAGTACATGGGTAGGTACTCTATAAGTATTCTGGATTGCTGAATCGTCAATATTCCATAAAAGTCACGACTTTTTCAAATTCAAATTCCCAGTAATATAATATACGTATATATATATTTATACTTATATATGTATCTACTTATAACCAAATAAAGGAAAACTTAGTACCATTTGCTCTTTTTCTGTACTAACAGCAAAAACAGTTAAGTTATAAATTTGTATACACTTTTTATTGTCACTAATTTGTTATTTGCTTTAATTTGTATCAACATATTCAACACGCACAGTATATTATGTATATAAAATGTTCAATTAACAATAATAATATATGTACAAAATACACATATTTTGATAATAGTATAATTACTTAATATTTTTCGTCAAATTTTAAATTAAAAATAATTTTCTTTTTTAAAGAATCGTATTCACTTTCTAGTAAAATGAAACTACTTATTATTATAATGTAGAACCAATTATTATTGTCAAACAATCCATACAAAACATATACATATTATGACTTGTGACTTTGTTGTGTTTTTATAAGAAATAAAATAATATTTTTTGTCACTCGTATGATCAGAATGAATTATTTACATTTTATGAATTTGTAAATAACAGTGAAGGGAATATTGAAGAGCTTCTTAGAAAACTTATTTATCATAATGAGTAATGACAGTGCGACGGTACGTGAGATAATTTGTTGAGAAGGGTGGCGGTCTTCCGGGAATTAGAGCATCGACGAAGAGTGTAAACTATTATTAATCATTTTCTTTTACTAACATTTTTTTTTTAAATTTCAATAGTTCAAAAGCTAATAAGTAACAAGTAACAATCATACAACTAAAGCCCGTTGAAACAGTAAAATTAAAATATTAATTCGGTGTATTAACTATAAATATTAAATTCAAATTGTTTTATGAGAAACCATTTAAATTTAAATTATTTCAATTATGACAAAAACAGCAGAGATTACAAAATTTAAGTCACCTAAGGCCAATAATTTGCAACAAAGATCATTTTTATAACAATTACTAAAGTAATTAGAACTAATAACTAATAATATACTTAATATAAATATATTAAAATTTATGTAATTTACGTATAATTTATGAATATAATATCCTAATGAAAATATTTTAATGATCTCCAAGATACTAAAATAATATGATGGTATTTTGCATTTTTTTATATCCTTTATAATACCTTTATGTTTAATTTAATCGTATAATTTGATTAACTAAAAATATTAATATTAATTTTTTTTTTTTATTGAATTAAAGCTTGAGTTTGGGGTTAGATGTTCATCATTAACCTACGAGTTATTTGATAGGTGTATTACTGTGGGGAGAGGTATGGTATTGTTTAGAACATGTGTATATGTTGCGAGAGTTTGTCACTAAAAACCAAGGT